GTGCAATACTAATATGCAAAAGTACTTAAGACAAGGGAAATACTCAGGAAGTATCTCTGTTACCTTTTCTGTGATTCCATTCATTTCCTTAACTCATCACAGGTCAGTATAAAAATATAATTTTGAGATCATTGACTATCGTGTAGCCATGATACGCTGAGAACTTATTATTACAAATAGACTTCGTGACTGGCTATTGGGGCACATCCTTTGGAGCCTTGAGGAAATGGTTGTGGGCCTGAATTATACCCAGAGCTTGCAGAAGGAGTTGTGGTACCATGCCCTGCCCCTGCATTTCAGCAATGATTTTTATCTGCAGTTTGCATTATAACTGACTTGTGGTCACCAGAAAATTCACAAGCCAATAAACTGGCTGCAATTCTCTCCCTTCAACCTTGACCAAGCTTTGATTGAGATATGTGTCTTGGGACCAAGCAGGACCCAAAGTATTAGAACTATACTGGAAAACTTACTAGACCATGGTCTTTATTGTTTTGGTCTATAATCTCTTAACATATGTGCCCTCCATGTACCTAAGAAGCTTTTTGACTTCCTGAGATTGTAAGAATTCCAAGTATAGTAGTTATACCATGTTAACATCTTCATATTTTACTGTTCACCACAGTGGGAAAAAGCAGTGTGGCTAAAAGTGACAAAAAGCTGTGTCATGAACTAAATTCTTAACTTATCAATAAATTTGTTAGTTCTTGTTAGTTCCCATTTGTAATAGAGCAGTTCCTACTTCTGTGGTGATAAAGTGATTCAGTCTGTATCCTCATATTTCTTTCTCCCAACAGTACCTTATGTACTTTAACTCATTCGAAGGATAGCATCTCCTTTAAGAGCTGACTGATGAAAAATGTCCTTAAATTCTATTACATTTTTAGCAAGATATTTTCATTGTCTCTGGAATGAGTTCCATGCTTGGGTTAGACCCATCCTCATACTACTACAGTTTAATTTTAAGGGACACTCAACTTCTTCTTTTTTCTTTTTAAAGTTACATATTGTTGCTAACCAATTCACCTCTTGAGTTATGACTTTTTTTTCTGGAAATACATTGGTGAATATTAAAGGGTTATATTTTTCTCACACATTTTTAAAATATGAGATCTGGCTTGAATCATTTAGGGAATCATTTTCTGTGGTTCATTAAAATGGACAGGAAAGAAGTAAATTATGTAATTTCTCTGACCTTACATTAGATTTGAATTAAAATATAACTTGTGTTGTTGCTAGCCTTCTCTCCATGGTATATCTTTTATGAAAGAATCATTGTTTCTAGCTTGTTCTAGAACGTTGTGAAAGAGGGAAAAAAAAGAATCATCTCATTTAGAGATGAATCATCTTGTTTAGCGATATCTGAGATATTTTAGGGAGCGTCATCAAAAAGGATGCCCTGCATCAACAGGAATATCTATCCAAGATCCTAGAGTAAATTGATAGGAAACCAGGATCAAGAAAGAAAATTCAGGGGTTTAAAGTATTCTTTAGATCCTGTCTTCTCATAAATGGATTTTTAAATTAGAGATAGTATTTTATCTGAATGTGTGTTCTTTTTTTTTTAATATTTATTTTATTTATTTATACAAGCACTGGGTACAGTCAGAAGCGCGAGAGGGTGAGAGAATTCACCAGAGCCAGAGCGGTGAACAGAGCAGGTAGACTGACGAAGTACACTGCTGCGGGGAGCAGCGGGCACAGCAGAAGAGGTCTGCGCGCCATGTGGGACCCTCGCCCGGTGGCCGGGGATTGAACCGGTGTTGCAGAGGCTGCGGCAGCTTCGCAGCCCAGCGCTCAACCGCTGCACCACCAGGAGAGGCCCTGAATGTGTGTTCTTGTAAGCTCCCACAGTGCCTGAGAAGGAGCTCAGTTGGTTCTTCCTAAATGTGAAAAGAATGAAAGTTAATTGCCACAAGAGTGATTAGACAAATTCCTGGAAACTGAGAGGAGAAATAAAACAAAGAGATATAAAGAAGGATGAGCACAGCAGAGCAGTTGTATAATGAGGAGAGAATATTGAAATGGAGAGAGGGCCATTTTCAAGAGTGTTTTTGTGATCTTTCTTGGGTAGATGCTGGGAGAACAATTCTTGAGGTGACTTAGAGTAGTGATTCTCAAATTTCTGTAAGCTGGTCTATGTTGTTTTCCTAATAAAATTACTTAATCTTTTCCCAATATCTGTTAAAAATAAATGGATAGACTATTCCTCCATGTTCTGTTTTTCCTTAAGTCTTTGGCAGTTGCTATTTTTGATCTATACCAAAAACTAACAAAAAAAGTGGTCTCAAGAAAGGGTACAGCATTATGGTAATTATTTTAAGTTTAATGAATCAGTAGTTCTCTAGAGACTTGGTGGCTTCCCCTAGCTCCACTAAGTTTGAAAACTGCTGTCCCAGAGCATTAATGAAACAAAGCCCCTCTGGGACCTGTTAAAGAGAGGCTTCACCAGAGTTTCTGGCAACAAATCTCAGTATTGTGTCTTGTAAAAAGCAGTTGTAATTATGTTGCTCTTGTCCATTCCCTGTGGGTTAGTAGCTTATCTAAGACTGTTATCTGGTCAGCATGGAAGAATCCCATTGCTTTATTTACTCACCTTACCCAGCTTTTGAAAGAAGCCATCCAGGGAGAAGTTTCTGTGAAATGGAATTGTGTGAGTGTAACACTAGTGTTGGAACAGCCGGATACAGGTTGGCAGCAGAGAAAAAGGAAGTGGTTTGCTTTCTTTTGTGAAATTGCCCCTACCTTGTTCTTTAGAACTTGTTTCTACCTAGAAGCTTTCTTTAAAACTAGATCATGTGAAGTAGTTGCTCATCTGAGCTGATTTAGGCAATTAGATGTGTAATAAAAGTTGTCAGTTTTTTACTGCCAATGATTTTTAAAAGTCTATCTTTGTTGGGGGGGGATCACTTATCATGATTCATCTTCAAATTATAAATTTGGTTCATATGCAGATTTTAAATTACTGTTGTCAATCCTCTGTATCCATGGTGATTTGGTTCCAGAAACACCTCTCCCCCGACCCCCAACCACACACACACCAAAAATCTGAGAAGCCTCAAGTCCCTCATATAAAATGTCATAGTATTTGCATATAACCTACAAACATCCTCCCATATACGTTAAATCATCTTTAGATTACTTATAATATCTAATATAGTATAAATGCTATATAAATAGTTGTTATACTATGATGTTTAGGGAGTAATGACTAGAAAAAAATCTGTGCATATTCAGTGCAGACATGACCATCCTAGGTCTAGCTAAATAATACACATTTTTGAGCAAAAGTTAGTTGAACCCAACGTTGGTTGAAACCAAAATGCAGAACCCTGAATGTGGAGGGCTAGCTGTATTTCAATAAGTGAGTATATTACCTCCACTCAAACAGAAGACCTGGGAAGGCACCTTCGGAGTGTGAATTGACAAGATCGAAGGGGTGGGTGGATGTTTTATTTTAACATGTGGGAAGTTAAAATGGTTTGTCTACATGATATATTTAATTTTCTTTTAAACCATTGCAAACCTTTAGCAGAGTGCACCAAATGACATTTCTGAATATAAAGTACCCCTACATTTATTTTTGTTTAATTAGAAGGTAAGTATTATAGGAGCCATGTGGAATGGGGGAAGGATCAGAATGAGATTTCTTTCTTACATTAAAATTTGGTAGAAGTTCAGATGTTGGAAAGCGATGACTGGCAGGGCACATTTTGTAAATTTAGCAAATTATTCTAAGAAGTGGAGGCGGAAGACTAAAAACTATGGGATTTCAAAAGACAGTGAGCCTTGGAGTAGAGGGATAAAGAGCTTTTAAACATAGGTTGGAAGCTCAGTAAATGTTGGTTTCTCTGTACTTTTTCCTATACTGCAATGGGAAATGATAATAGTTTTCTATTGTGCTTAAGCATCTGTGGGTGATGGTAATGCTTTCTGGATTGTTAACTAGGAAAAATTAGCTCCTACAATTCAAATCATTCAGTAACTACTAAGTTGAAACAGAGATATAAATATCTATAAATAAATGAATAGAAAAATAAACTTTTTTTGTACAAGGATGTGTGTTAGATACTGTGAAAGCAAACAATATAAGCTACCAGATCTCCCTCAAGGAGTTTGTGGATTTGTTGGGGTAAATGTATACACAAGACAGTGGGTCATGCAGAACATCCAGGAGTTACCAAATGAATAATAGAGGAAAAAACAAGGAGCTTCAAAGAGGGTGAAACCCCAATGGACTGAGGTAGCAGCAGAGATTTCCTGTTAGATAACAGCACAAAGCTAGATTTCAAAACCTGGTGGGATTCAGGGAAGTATCAGGGAAGACTGGGGCTTTCCAATGTGGAGAATAGTGCGTGTAGAGGTAAGCTATGGATGGCAGGCTCTTCTGATGAGTATTACCTAGTTAAACCAAAGTAGCCATGTAGAAAGGTGAAAAGAAAACACTGGAAACCCATTGGAGGCAGGCTGTCGTGGGCACAGAAGGGCAGACTGGGAGCTTTGGATAGACTCACATAAGAAATGAAACCCATTGTAGGTGGAGGGGCCAATTTAAGGACATTGTTTAGTTGAGATTTATAGGATGGCTTGAGCAGGTGTGACCAGAGGGCAGAGAAACCAAAGCAAGTGTTTGGGGATGTAGTAATGAAAACCTGGGTAAGACTGGTCAAAGTGGGAATGAAAAGGAAGGAGAAATGTAATTAAATGACATTAAGAATAAAATGACGTATACAAAACACCTGTCTCCTGTTACACTTTTTTCAGTTGTCTAGACTGGGATCTGTTCAAGTGCATATCCTGTCAAGTGGATGTGAATGTAGACCAGATACTTACATTGAGTGAGAATAAGGATGATAATCCTGTGTGATACATGATTTGGGATTTAATCTCATTTTTTGACTTCGATAATTACTGGGCGTGCCACTGTTGTATGTATTGTGTGTTCATGTTACAAAATTTGTTTGGCTTTAATTTTCCTCCCTTTCTTTCTTTTAAAATAGACTCTGTCACGAAGAATTTCCAATCCATACCTCGAACATACTCCTTCCCAGGTATGATTCTTTTCTCATTTACTGCATGATCTGAAATAATGATTTACAAATTGTGGTATAGAAATCTCTAGTAATAGCTGTTTGTTTTGCTCCTGATCACATGTTTCCTTCACTGGGGATGACACAGCCAAAGGTGTTTGAGATGCTCTGATAATTGTGTCATGGTTCAAGATGTCCCCTAGGTAGAAAAAAATATTTCCTACCTTTCAAGTCCTTTGCATGAATGTATTATCAGTATGGCAGAGTTAATATAGAATATAGTTTTTCAGTTGTCTGTATTGATAAAAATGCTGTATTTTAAGCATGGTGGAAATTTTGTGCTGAAAACTTTTTGTAAAAAAGGATTATTTATATTTATTGTTATCTGATAGTGGAATATCTCCATATGCTTATTGTTAAGAAAAGAGGAGCATAGCTTTATTGTATTGGGTTAACAAATCTGTCAATAAAGAGTAGATGTTTTAGAGTAACAGGAGACTATGAGCTTTGTTTGTAGGGACCTTTTCAGTCTTGTTCTCTACTGTATCCCAGCATCTAGAATAAGTAGCCTGATAGCTGCTTATTAAATGTTTTTTGAATGACTGAGTGAACTTGGTACCATGTCACAATTAAGTGTCACCAGGCTTGTGTCTCTTTTATGGTAAATTTCCTGTCCTCTCATTTGTTCAAGCATTTAAAAAATAACAGTTTCAACATGTTAAAAGTAAATCATTTCTTCCATGCTTCTCTTTTCTATTGAATTTTGTTTAGGAGATGATAGCAAGAAAATTAAAGAAGTGAGAATGGGATTGAAATATTCCCTGTCAAGTCACAGTTAACATATTATCAATTTGTTTGCTTTGAGAGAAGATATAAAATATACTTTAGGTACAAAAAGAATTAACCCAGAAAGAAGTAAACAGAAATAAGCATGTATCCCCAATATATATATTAATTTTCTTGAGCCTTTACATATGAAAACAGCTCATTTTCATTTAGCTTCCTTTGTTTGAAAAGCAGCATTGCACTGAAGAGGAAGGAGCCAATTATGGAAAAAGGAAGTAGAATATAAAGTAGGGCACAGAGCACTCTCGAACTAAGGAGCACTCTCCATCATCCTTCAAGAATCAAAGATTCATGGATGAATTAGAAGATTAAAAAGAGGAGTTAAATGAAATTTTTATCTGCTAGATGGAGTCACGGAAGTAGATGAATCAGAATGCTTGGAATTAACTGTGAGCTCTGCTATTGAAGCTTAAAGGCAAAGCAGATAGCAGCCTACTATCAAATTGTCATGATGTTCACTAGATAGGAAAAATTATTTTCCCATTTTCCTAGACCTTTACATGAGTGCATTATCAATATGGCAGTTAATATATAATATAAATGTTCAATTATCTATATTGATAGAAATATTCTGTCTTAAAAAACAGTGGCTATTGTGCCCTAAAAACTGTGTAAAACGAGGTTATTTTTGTTCAAGCAGTTTGGCATTTAAAAAATAGTTGTTATAACTGAATAGTGTCCATGGACCAATAGCAAAAACAAGATATGTAGTTGCATGTAGCTATGTAGGCTAAAATGTAAATTTTGTAAATTTTGATATAATATGCTATTGGCAGCTCACAAATTGCCACAATGAGGTTCTAAATGTACAGCAATTATTTGTCTTTTCCATTTAGATTTATGGAGAGAATTCTTCTTGTGCAGGAAGAGCATTGAGGAATATTATTATTGTTCAGGCAGCTGACCTGATAAAGGACAGAGTGAACCTCAAGGGATTTTACAGGTAACACATTTTTCTAACACTTTGTCAAAAATTCTCCTTATGGGGAAAAAAAATAAAAATGTGTTAAAAGCATAACCTTGCACACAGAGAGGTAGCTATATTGATAGTGGGAGAGGGTTGTTTGTTTAGAAGTGTCTATTTGGGATATCGATGGTGACTTTTCTAAATTTAATCCAGTGCTCAATGATAATTGGGATCCTTGTTCTGAATCAGGGTATGGAACCCCCTGGCACAAGTGAGGTTGTGGTCCTGGGAGAGTCTCTGCTTTGCTTTCTCTGAGATGTGATATTTCACAACATTTTTATTGAGTGTGCTGCACTAGGACTGCAAGAAATATGAGTTCCCTCATCGGGGACGTTATCAAGGCTCTGTGAGGTCTGTTGGGGACCCATGGGACAAGGCACTCTACTCTCACTCCCAAATGCAAGTCTTTCGCCTTTTAGGTGCTGTGAGGAGGGAGGGTGGGTTGGCTCAGTAAGGATGGCCCTGCCATGGCTAGTGGAGAGCAAAGGAGTTAGAGTAAGTGTGTGGGCTGAAGGCCAATTTTAAAGTACATCTAGACCAAGAGTGTTCACTTAGAAAGTTTGGAGCACATGATTTCATTTGATGGAGTAGTTTAAAGAAAAAACAAAAGTGAGTTTTCAGCTCCTCATTTTTCTAAGAAAAGATATTAGGGCCTCCCTGGTGGTGCAAAGGTTAAGCACAGCTCTGTGAAGCCATTTGCAGCCTCTGCAGCATGAGTTCAATCCCTGGCCGGCCAGGGAGCAACCCACATGGCACAGCAGACTTCTCCTGTCTTGCCCGCTGCTCCCCTCGGCATTGTGTTTCAGTCAATCTGCCTGTTCTCTTCCCTGCTCTGTCTCTGGTGAATCCTCTCACCCCCCACATCTCTGGCCTATACCCCAGTTCTTGTATGCATAAGTTTTAGACATTTTTCACATTCCAGAAGGCTTCATGCCCCTTCAAGTCAGTAATTGTCTAGTGCCACCAACTTCCTTCTTATCAACCTTCTGACAGAATCTGTATCCTTATGTACCACTGAACCATCATATAGTGGGATTAGCAGAACTGCAATGAATTAATAATTGTAAAATCCCATGCTTAATTGTATTTGTATCTACAAATGCACAAATGTTTTTGTGTGTATGGACAAGAGAACCTCTTGAAAAAGCTTCAAGATCACCCATTTCTTTTGTAATAATCTATAGCCAAGGTCTGAGGACCCTGCTTTCCAAGGCCAGGCTAAGGTGACAAGACAGGCAGGAAGAGAGGCATGTGATGGTTGGGCAACTTCATATAGAACCTTTTGTTTAAAATTGTTGGTGATCTCAGTTTTAGACTTGTCTGATTTCCCCCTTCTTGTTATTTTTTTAACTAAATATTTTAATTGCACCCCTTTCTTTTAAAATTAAAGCTTGTATGTATAAATCTTTGGGTCTGGTAATCTCAGAGGATTAATTTTGGCCACCACATAAAGTTAATGTTTAGGATCTGTCATTGTTTTCCATTTTGTTTCTTTATAAGATTTCCATGGTAATAAATTGAAAAAGAACTAGGAGATTAATCAGGTTCATGTAGAAGAACTGTCCAGCCAATTCAGAACACATTTAGGGTGTAGTGGGAGTAGAATGGGGAGAGAGTGTGTGTTTTGCTACCTCCTATCTTGAACAAGCCAGAACCTCCTTTTTTTCATAATCTAAGGATTGATTAATCCTTTGATTAGTGCTATAATGATTGCCTGATGTGGATCATTTTCATTTGTCTAGTCATAAATTGAAGTAAAGTGTTTTCCATGTCCCATATGAGAATTGCTTTCAAAATTGTGAAATGTTTTCTATTCATTTTATACTGTAGGGAAAATCACACTGGTTTTTGAAACTTCAAATAAGTCTCCAAATACCACCACTGCATTTATATTTGAGATTAGGGTTCTGCCTGCACTACCATGAATTAATTGCTAACAACATTAACAGGTAACAGGAGGAGGCCTAGAGAAACCAAATTTTCAGTTCCCAAAATTGGTTAAATTATGTTTTGTTATATGCAATCTCATTGGCCTTGTAGCTGATCACAGTGTTCCTACCTAGTATTGCAACTGTAGTTAGATCTACATGTACTTGCAACAGTTTCTGGATTCAGTACAAGACTGAAAATATACTGGGGAAAAGTATTGCTGTCATTGTTCACAGCGTTCTCTTCCCACCATCTTTTTTCTTCCTCACTGCTGTCCCCTAAAGCCTGTGGATTTACCTATTTTAACTGGATTGTTTCGGACCTACCTGGTTAGCAAGTCAGGGGAGTATATGTTAATAGCAAAGTCAGCTCACTCACTTTGTTTGCTTTGGTGATATTACTGAGTTTATTCTTACCCCTAATGTTGTTTTCCCTGGCACAGATGGATTGTTGAAAGCAACTTGAAGCATTACTTGATGAAGTTGGATATAGAAAGGGGTCTTGTACCAAAGACATCATAGCTTTTCTGAGAACAGGAAAGCCTAGTTATTAACCGGTGTTGTCAAGGTGATTAACTAATGTTATCAAGGCAGTATGTGTTTTAACACATTGACTCAGCCCTACCCCCCAAAATAGACTAAGCCCTTTCCAATTAAATGTTGAGCTGGGGGGTTAGGGCTTATGGTCACCGGCATCACCAGGCAGCTACTTAGAAATGAGGCTACCCAGCCATGCTGCATCAGAATGTGCAGTTAATTTAACAAGGTCCCCCAGGTGACTCCTAAATAGTTTTTGAGAAGCCCTGGTATGTAACAGTCTTCCCTGTCAGCTATGAACACCAAGCATATGCTTCTGTCTAGCCAACTCTTGCAATTTGGCAGTTTGTTTAGTAAATGTTTGGTTCTGTCCTGTTTAGTTGTCGTCAGACGCTCAGAGCAGGCTGAGGAGCTGTATTGTTCTGAGAATAAGGACTCAGATGATACAGTGTTTACACCATGCCTTTATAAGTCCAAAGATATTGGCTAATTGACAAGAGTGTTGAGGAATTTAATTAACACTTTGAGCCTTTAACATGAAAGGTGTCCTATAGAATTAGTGACTGTTTAGCCTAATTGTCTGTTTTGTTGTAACACTTTTTCTCATTTTGTTTCAAAAACCATTCATTTATTTGACTGTTAGTCTTTCTAGTGTTTTAATGTTAACATGCTACTGAGCATGTCTGATATTGTCCTAAGTGCCTTAGAGTATCTTTCATATAGTGATATTTTGCCACAAAGTAATGCTTTATCAATAGCTGTAATATAAGATCACATATCTCAGCAGAAAAATTTACCGCCTTACTTTTTCCTACAGCACAAAAATGTAACACCTCTTGGCATTTCTTCATACAGTTAGTAACTGTGTGATTTTTAGGTCTATGTGCAACTATGTCAATCATAAGAGATAGGAAAATAGGTAATATTTTTCTATTTTAGGTCCTTAAATACCAACTATAGAGTAAAGATAGCCATTTTATATGATATTATAAACATTTGGTGACATTATGTCATAAGGGAGACTGAATTGGATTCAATAAAATTTCTCAAATACAAAAACATTTTAGATGTTTCTTTTTTTTTTCCCATATAATACTGATAAAGAGGGAAAAGTAGGCATAAAGATACTATTCAGATACTCAGGTTGGAGCATTCTTTGAATACATTGTGTATTTTAAGACACAAAGAAGACCTTGTGTTTGATTAGTGGAATCTATCATGCACATCTGGATCCATGGGTTTATGGTCTAAGCTACTTAACTAGATTGTTTATATTATATTAAGAAGACTACCAGTCATATTTATTTTTTGAGATAAATTTAAGAATTTAATCTCTAAAAGATTAGCAAATAAAACCCTATAACCCACTAACTTTGTCTAACCTTTTTGGAGATATTTTGTTTTGAAAGAGACAAGAGAAATCAGCAAACAGTTGAGCAGAAGTTTATCCCCATCAACTTGAGGAAATTGTCTTATCAAGGCAGAAGCATTATCTTTATATAAAGAACTGCTATTATATTAAGAACTTATTGTGTACCATGAACTGTTTATTTGTCTGAAGTCTTATTCTCTTAAATTATTTTCAAATGAGTGAACATTAAACAAAAATTGTATTTATGAAACAATACTTCCCATTAAATATAATGGAGTTCCTGTTAAATATGAATTTATTCATAGTGGCAGGCACATTCTTATCTGTTCTTAAATTCTAGGCAGGAGAATCAGTCTGATGATCCATGTGTAACTCAGGTGCTTCCTGCCTTGATGTCAATCTCCCACCGGTTTTAATTATATTGGTTAAAAATTCTGGTTCAGGGGCCTTCCCTCTGGCACAGCGGTGGGGGAGGGGTTATTTTCAAATGAGGAAAATAGATATTATTCAAAATGGTGTATAATTACTATGTGTTGGGTATTTTGAAAAAAAAAATATAATTTCACTGATTCCTCTAAGGAAATGGTATTTGAAAGATGAAAGAGAGGTATGTGTCACTTATTCTTGAATTTTTTTTTAATGCAAGTATATGAAAGGGATGGTATTAAATATCAATTTTTTGGCAAATGAGCTCCAACATTATCTTACTGTGAATGCCTTTGCTTTTGTCCAGGAGAAGCTGCGTTGGGTCAGAACTGGTCGACTGGCTTCTGGAACACTGTCCTTTTGTTCAGTGCAGATCTATGGCCATTGGTGTATGGCAGCTGCTGTTGGATATGGGAATTATATCATCAGGTTAGTACTACGTGTTTGAAGGCATAGAATCATTATGAAGTTATCAGACCAAAATGTACTTGATTTTTTTGAAAGAATGTTACAATATGGATGGAAATAGTTTTTGCAGGTAAATATTTACATCTTCTTTTATTAAAAAAATGACAGGTTATCCTTTGACTTTATTTCTTGCACACATATTAGGTGTGCAAGCACCTATTAGATGCTTGTTGATTCATAGACTACTATGAATCAAGAGTTTTTTCCTTACCCCTTCCCTTCTCTACTCAAAATGCTGCTCACAAGTTTTCTAACAAATCAGTGATATCTTTAGTTGCTCTGTGTGATTTATCTTGTTGTACTTAGAATAATCATCAGAAACTGATTTTATGAGTGGAATGTGTATGCAATTTTAATTGACTAAGTAATCATGAACAGTTAGAGATGTGACCTTTGAATAATGGCTGTTTAAACAGAACAGAAAATAGATGTTAACTAGAAACTAGAGTAAATGGTGGCTGTCCCTCTTCATAGCTGACCCCAGGGAATAGAAGGCAAGCAATCTGGACTCTGTTTAGCTATATCACTTAGGTGCTTGCTGGTTACTTGGAAAGTCCTTTTTTCTATATGTAACACATAGTAAGAAGCAGGGAACTCAGTAAAGTTCTGAAAGCCATATCTCAAGTCTGATTATGAAACATGATAGAGATATGGGTATAATATTAGTGAATCAATAGTATCTAGCACCTGTAACTCTTATTTAGAAAAGTAACTACATTTGAGTAATGTCATTATCAACCTGCTTGCATGGTTCAGCCTTCTGTGTAAAGTTGTTTTGAAAAGTCGCTAGTTCTAGATTCCTTTGAAATTGGGTTTTCCCCATTGGTAAGTACTGATATTTTGGGCTGGCTAGTTCTTAGTTGTAGGCATCTATCCTGTACTTCATAGGATATTTAGCAGCAACCCTTCTACTCACCAGATGCCAGTAGCACCCCCTAGTTGTAGCAACAAAAATGCTTCCAGACATTGTCAATGTTTCTGGGGCACAGTTACCCCCAGTTGGGAACCACTGAAGTAAAACTTACCATCAATTTATATTTTTGTACTAGTAAATTATTTTGGTGTATTAGTTTGCTTTGAGCCACTAAAGACTTTCCCCCTCTCCTTGAACTGCTATTTACTTAATCTCTCTCTGAAGCAGAAAAATTATAAAATACATGTAAATATGCTATCCAAAGCTTCAAGTTATATAAAGCTAGATTTTTCAATAAGTCCTTTTAAATTCAATGGAATTGTAAACATTGATGGGTTTAGCATGTGTTATTATAACCCTACCCTGTCTTCGCTGTAATAACTATCAGGGGGACTCCCCAGTGGCGCAGTGGGTTGAGTGCAGCACTGTGAAGCTGTCCACAGCCTCTGCAGTGCCGATTTGATTCCTGGCCAGCCAGGGAGAAACCCACATGGCGCAGCAGACCTCTCCTGTCTCGCCTGCTGCTCCCCTCAGCAGTGTTTTCCTCAGTCTACCTGTTCTGCTCCCCGCTCTGTCACTGGTGAATTCTCTCACCCTCCCATGCCTCTGGCCTGTACCCCAGTTCTTGTATAAATAAATAAATCTTTTAAAAAAACCTAACAGGGCTTTCAATTTATTACTTGGTTTGTGACTTTCTAAATAATATACTTAGAAAAACTGATCCATATCTTTTTTATTTCCAACAGTGGACCAGCATTTATACTTTCAAGATACCTATGTTTTCTATCAGTTTTCATCTGATGAATGTAGCTACTTGTACTGTGAATTTGAAAGAGAGGAAGAATGGCAAAATGGTGTCAAGCTTTTATTGCAGTTTGTGCCTCTCATTCCTGCTAGAACTGGCATTTGTGAAATGTAAGTAGATGATATTTTGTTCCATTGTTAAATTATTCTCAATTAGAGAATATTTAGTGTGTCTAGGAATTATACTATGCCCTTGAAGGTTCCCATCTCCAGTAAGAGGTAGTTGTTCAGTTACCATTTCTCAGATGCAAGTTCAGAAAAGCAAGATTAGTTGCTGAAAGTTAAATCCTGTTAATAAATGGCTGAACTGGCATGCGGATCCCATACCTCACCAGCTGCACCATAAGATTTCTAATTTAATCATTGCTGTATGAGCAGATGATCTAAGTTAGGAATAGACATGATTGGCTAAAGTTGGAATAAAATAATAACTCACATCTTATCCATTATCAAATCATGACTTTCCAAAGAAAGAACTCAACAGACATTTCTGAAAATAATTTAGATGTAACATTTGGCGAATTAAAACACGTGAATCATTATCACATGAAGATACTGAATCACCATATGATTAAAATGGATTAAAATTAATCGGAGAAGATCTGGGAAAAGAATTTGAGTCATGATATGGTGATTCTGACATGCCTCTGTTAAACCATAATGTTAAGGACAAGTTTATTTGGGTATAATGAATTGCAGATTAAAATTTCAGTTAATAAATTTTACAGATTTAGTTTTCAGAATATATTTCCATACTGTTGACTCTGACTTCCATGAGATTTGTAGGGCAAGTGGTGTTATCCCCATCTCATGGGTAAGAAAATAGGTTCACAGAAAAGCGTTTACAACCATAACAATGATGAGTTGCTCTGGTTAGTTTAAAGATGGCAGTCAATACTGAACAGTTAATATAGGTTTTTAGAAAAGAATTGTGTCCGAATATTAACAAGATACTGTGAATTAATAGAAAGATGCATTGCAGAAAATATATTTTATGTCAGGAACTTTCCTAACTGCTTTATATTCATTATTGCATCTTCAGATAAACTCTGTAATGTAGTATTATCCCTATTTTGTAAGTGAGGAAACTGAGGCATAATAGGCAGGTAACCTGTGCAAGGTCATGCAAAAGGGTAGTTAGAATGTTAGGGTTTGAATTAATGTCTGTTTGATTCTAAAGCCCTTGCTTTAGCACCTACTAGAAGGTGTTCCCAGGAGTTAAGGGGATCATTCTAGCTTCCCTTTCTGAGAAGTTATAAACAGAAGCTATTAATATAGAAATGTTAGGCTAACTCTGAAAGAGCTATGAATTCAGTACCACCACAATGACCTCTGTTTATGGAGGACCTCGCAGTGGTGAAGTAAAATTCAAATGTAATTCATCTTTCAATGGAAGTATAGAAATTGCTCTTTAGTACATTAGGCTTTTAATATAGATCAGAAATGTCCTAAGAAAAGTCAAGGAACATTTCAATAAACTTTAACAAGTGGTCTCAAAAGAAGTGGTATGCTTTTTAAAACAGAGGTAGCAGTGACTTGCTTTTGACTCTGTGGGACTGGTGTTCTTTAGCAGCTCTTCTTAACCATTTCCTGTCCTGAACTCAAGATGAATTGAGTACAATGCCAAGGTTACACAGGGAAATTGAAATAAAATTTCAAACAGAGCTCATGATTTAGCTCCACTGCTTTCTCTCCCACTTGGAAAGCAGATTGGAGTGCCAGTGAGTGAGAAGGTCCTATTATAAGGAAACCCTGGGCCTACCCTAAGTTCTAAGAGAGAAAATATTTTTAAAACATGGGTTCTAATAGTCATTCCAGATGATACCCAGTCTTTTATCACACTGATCATTTGAACACAAATATCAGGCCTCTGAGGTTGAGAATCACTGTAGCAGGTTTTATATAGCAATTTTTTTTCTCTCACAGTGAGCATGTCCCTTTGGGAATGGTAATTCTTCTGGGAAAATCGTTTTTAGGAAATAGTGGAGGGCCTCCCCGGTGGCGCAGTGGTTGAGCGCTGGGATGCGAAACTGCATGTATAAACAAAAACAAACAAACAAACAAACAAATAAATAAATAAATAAAACATGCCTCTATTTAAAAAAAAAAAAAAGGAAATAGTGGATTTGTCTGTACTGTATTATAAGTACTGACTATAAAAAGATAAAATTGTGGAACCACTCCAAGTCTCTCTGGAGAGAAAGAATATGTATTTTTATACTAGAGTTGTAAGTAAACTTGTAAGCTACGGTAGGATGAGTTTGATTGTATTTTGGAAAGCCAAGGTTTAGGTTACCCAGTCTTGGGATAACTATGGTCAGAGCAAAGATGACCAAGGACATGGTCTTCTTTCAGTTGTGCTGTCAGTCCTTGTGGTTCCTATGCATCGATCTCACCATCGCTTCTCTAATCTGGTGGTCTCCATTCATTCTGCCCCCATCCCACAGCCATTCAGGCTCTGGTACCAGTGTGATGCTCTTCTCAGTCCCCTGCCTCTTTGCTTGTTTAGGCAAATTCTACCCATCCCTCAAGGGGGAGCCCAAGTCCTACCATAACTGAAAAACTTCTGCAATGTCTCCAATTCATATTATACTTGCTTTTAGTGTTCTTGCTCTGTGTGTATTTTATTTTTATATATATATAAAATTTCCATTCTTCTATGTCATTTTTAGCCTATTACTGTTACCCATTTTTATCCATTCTTCTTAAATGCCCTGTGGAGCCTTCTAGATTCATTAACTTAAGTTGTCCAGTTATGAACTGAACACCCAGTACCATGAATTTAGTTTTTTTGTTGATATTTGAAGAATACTAGGGTCTGCCAATGCCATTTTCCATTAGGCCCCTCTAATTTGCGGTCTTCTCTATAGATCTCTTTAAAGTTATGTGATAAATCACTTAATATTTTCATGTATACACAGCCATGTTCTGAACAGAAGTATTTTTTAAAAAGAGGAAATTTGGATTTTTTTTTTTCATTTGAAAAAGAATGTTTAAAGCAAGGTGCTGTAGGTTTCTAGGGTAATTTGAGGAAACATAATTCTTGTTCTATACAAAGTAACTTTCTATACAAAGTGAGTAGATAATTTGAAAGAAGTGAGTAAAGCAGTTGTCAAGAGTGCTCTCTCTGGGGGGAAATTTAACAGTCATGATATCTCATTCAAATGGAAAGCCAAATCAAGTCATCCAAAATGCACTTTTTCCTAAACCCCCCCCCCCCTTTTTTTTTTTTGTTGGGGTGGTGCTGCAGCAGTTAGCAATGCTGAAGTAACAGTGTAACAGCCTAAAATTCTTTCAGGACAAGTGAGATATTTCTCTAACACAGACTCATCTGAGAGTTTAGGCTGTGAGGAAGCTTAGCCATTTCAGTTCAACTACCATTCCTTCCACTCCCAGCCTGCCAGGGTTGGGAATACATAAAACTGTATTCTACCCATTAGAGGGCAGTTTGCATTTACTTTGTTATTAAGATTTATAGGGGATTGCTAAAGTTCAACTCATGGTCCACTCAGACCTGTAAAGAAAAATGAAGCTTCTTCATTTTTTTCTAAGTTGTCCACATGAGCCTTTATCCTGCTGCATCATCAAAAAAGGAAAAGATGCTCTGTAATTTTAGTCTAATTCAGTAAAATTATTTTAATAAAGTCATTTAAAAAGTTCCTTTAGTTATTTATTTGGCATATTTTAGTGAAGAGGTTCAGTTTCTGTGCTGTGTCCTGTGCCTCAGCCAACAGCCTCTGGGTATATGGTGGGTGTGTGGACCTTGGCCTGCCTTTCCTCTTAGGGTAGGCCCTTCCCATCCTTACTCGTTTTTTTGTTTGTCTTTTTAAGTTTTATTTTATATATGTTTCCATCATTTTTCATTTTTGTAAAGGTATGCGTTTTCATCTTGGTTATAGTCCCTGTAAAATTCCCACTACCCTTGTTTTGATCCAGGAAAAAGACTAATTATAATGAAGTAAAAATATAAATATAAATAAACCAGAGACACACTACTGGGGGTGGGGGTGGGGAAAGGGAGCAGGATCTCATCCTTACTCGTTTTGCCTAATGAATGGACAGCCAGTTCCCTTATGAACCCTGAGTGTGAAGAAGCTGGGCATCCTGTTGGAATATTCTGTTGAAACTAAAGTTGGTGTCAGTTGGGTCTTCTACCTCAGCTCCATCAGGTGGGCCTGCCTGGGTGGTCCATCCTCCGGGAGAGCTGCTGGCATTGCTGAAGCTCCTGAGGTCTGTCTGTAGCTTCCAGAGATGTGCCATTCTTGACCCTCTGCTGAAATAGCTCCCTCTCATTGTATCCTAACCTGACTCTCCTGATTCCAACAACTTTTTTTTAACCTCATGCCTGTTCATTGTTGTTACTGTTATTGGGCAGCAAGCTTAATGACATATTATGCTAACATTCAGTTTCCTTATTTTAGAGAAAACTCAATCTAGTAAGTTAAGGTGAAGTTCTTGGCATTCATGATTTTTGTGCTCTAGATAAATAGGAGATTATATGAGATAGGTAGAACAGTGTTTTTAGGAATGAAGTTAGGAAGACTGATGGCATTTTGAGACAATGCAGGGTAGCTTGATGTTTTGAATCAGTGGGTCACAAACAGTGGAACTCACACTTTGAAAGCAGAGGGTGGGAATGAGACTCAAACTGATTGCAAGTGGCTTGCAAATCCATGGGGAAGCCAAATATTATCTTTTCATTGAATAAAAAGAGTGACTTAATTATATATAGAAACTTCTGAAATAAATACAACTTAACTGTTAAGTGAATTCACAGTGGTTCTCAACCACGTGGTTTTAAAAAGTAAAGAGGTATAATCTGAGATCTACTTAATGAGGGTTGGGGTAGAGAGATGATACGTGGATATCACTATTTTTAATAAAGTTCTGAAGGTGATGCTAATGCTCACCAAATTTGAGATCTCCTGTTATATAAGTGAACATTACAGAGAGAGCTGTTTTGAGTGATAGGAAAAGTTAAATCAAGACCTCAAAATAGTACCATAAAGAAACCAGATTAATAGTACCATGACTGGAAAATTTTATTTGAGCACAGTACCTAATGTCACTTGGTTAACACTTCTGAAATTCCATATAGTTAGCTTCATAAG